CTCTGAGATTCACAGTCTGTCCCATGCTTCTATGTCTCTGGATCTATTTTTGTTCATCGGTTTATTTTATTCATTAGATTCCACATATGAGTAAGATCCTATGATACTTGTCTTTCTCTGACTGGCTTATTTTGCTTCGCATAATACTCTCCAGATCTCAACATGCTGTCTCATACGGTAAGGGATCCTTCTTTTTTACAGCTGCATAGTATTCCATGGTGTAAATGTCCAAGAAGATGTTTGATACGATTTCCATCTTCTTGAACTTGTAGAGACTTGTTCTGTGTCCTAACATGTGGTCTATCTTTGAGGATGTTCCATGTGCACTTGAGGAGAATGTATATTCTGCAGCTTTGGGGTGGAATGTTCTGTAAATGTCAATTAAATCCATCTGATCTAGTGTGTCATTTAGAGTCACGGTTTCCTTGTTGATTTTTTGCCTGGAAGCTCTATCCAGTAAAGTCAGTGGGGTGTTAAAGCCCCTACTATGACTGCTGTCCATCTCTCCTTTACAGTCTGCACAAGTTGGTTTTTTTCCCAGCCTGTTGAGTCCTATGTTATGAGGTGGGTCTCTTGTAGACAGCATATATTTGGGTCCTGTTTTCTTATCCATTCAGCTACCTTATGTCTTTTGATTGGGACATTAAATCCATTTATATTTAAGGTTATTATTGATAGGTACTTACCTATTGCCATTTTTTCTTCATGCCTATGTTTCTCATTCTCTCTATTTCTACTTCTAATTGCAGCAGTCCCTTTAACATTTCCTGCAGTGCTGGTTTGGTGGTGATAAATTCCTTTAGCCTTTTTTCATCTGGGAAGCTCTTTATTTCACCATCTACTTTGAATGATAGCCTTGCTGGATAGAGTAGTCTTGGTTTCAGATCCTAGCTTTTACCTTAAATACTTCATACCTTCTGGCCTATAGTTTCTAATGAGGAATCAGCTGACAGCCTTGTGGAAGCTCCTTTGTAGGTAACAGATTGCTTTTCTCTTGCTTTTCTCTGGCTTTAAGATTCTTTGTCTTGAATTTTTGGCATTTTAAATATGAGCATGGGCCTCTTTGGGTTCCTCTTGCTTGGGACTCTCTGTGCCTTCTGAACTTGTGTGACTTTTTCCTTTACCAGGTTAGGGAAGTTTTCTGCCATTATTTCTTCAAATGGGTTCTCTAACCCTTCTTTACTTTTGACCTCCTCTGGCATTCATATGATGCGAATATTGTTACATTTCATGTCCCACAGCTCCTCCTGTTTTTTAATCATTTTTTCTTTTTGGATCTCTGATTGAGTGATCTTTTTTTCTACTCTGTCTTCTAATTTGCTGATCTGATCCTCAACTTCCCCTAATCTGCTGTTGATTCCTTCCAGTGTTGTTTTTTATTTCTACTATGTGATTCTTAATTTCCTTCATGGTTTCTTTATCTTTTTTTCATGCTGTTGCGCATCTTTATGAGCAGTATTCTGAACTCTGTATCTAATAGGTTGCTTATCTCCATTTCATTTAGCTCTTCTTCTGGAAAATTCTTTCATTCTTTCCTTTGGGACTTTTTTTTTTGTCTCCCCATTTTCTCTGCCTGTTTGGATTTCTTTCTAGGTATTAGGTACACCTGCTAGGACTCCCATTATTTTGGATGGTCTCTGGTGCAGGCCAATGTTAGATGCCATTTGTGACTGGTCTTGAGTACCCTGTTTGAAGTTTTCCACACTCCACAGCTTGTGGTTCCCTCTGCTGGGGCTGGGTGTGTTTGGACAGGATGAATGTGCACCAAGGTCTACTTTTCCAAGCCTTGGGTCCAGAAGCAAGTCAGGCAAAGACTCAAAGCACCCAGAGGCTGTTATTCAGAAACTCTACAGGGTGGTGCCATAGGTTTTCCAGCAGGGTGAGACAATTGTTTTCCTGCCTGCCCCCCGCCCCCCCGGCAGGCAAAAGCTGCTGGGAAGGTAAATGTCTGCCTGAGAAAGATGTCCTCTACCGTATGGGAGAATGACTCCGCACCAGGGTCCAGAAGGGTGCCCTCTGAGATGTATTCCCCTAGCCAGCC